GCATTCACCCCCAAACATCCTGTTACCTTCAAGCAATTAGGTATTTTCTCAGTAACACATTATATGCTTTAATCCTGTTGCATGTGTGTACAAAGCGTGGCTAGCAAGTTGTGTATGTAAGAAAATACCAAGTTGACGTAAAAGAGCTTTGCCATTGGATTTGATCAGTAGCCAGGGGAAGTAAAAACCCCCAAAGCAGGCACTCTCCTCTGAAAGCCATTTCAGGAGGGAATTTTGTGTACAAACTGAAGGCTTATCTGGGGTCTGCAGATATCTAGAAGTTCATCAGCTGGATAGAGCAAGAGGAGCTCATTGGGACTAATCTGTGCAGCAGGTAAAAGTGAGCCATCCAGCCTGCTCATCAGTCAGGGTGGCAAGCCTCACACTCATTCCTATATGACACATATCAATCATTTTCTTTTCTAATCACTCATTCAACAGCTGAAAAAGGAAATATGCCCAACAGATATCAACAAAAAGCTGGCTTAGCCAGCAGAGCTTCCCCGTTGTGCCAAGGGAACAACCTTCTCCCCTCTGCGAGGCCTCTCCTCACAAGGAGCAGACATCTAACTCTCCCTGAAGCCTCTTTCAGCGTGCCAGCTGGGAATCAGGGCCCTGGGCACAATCCCAGCACCTGTGCCTAGTTTTCTTACAGAGCACAGCCAGCTGGTCTGCTAGGTCTGCAAATGTCCTGTATTCCCTATTTCTTTTCTGTGGATTGCTTTGGATAAGCAATGTGAATGTGTTGCTTATATTTGGATTTTGCAAATTCATTGCTTTACATTTACCTTAACCTGATTTGTTTAAGGATCATATCAGGCCACTGATAAATAAAGTCATGCCATGTTTTTAATAATTATTAAACCAGGGTTGTTGAACCAGTAGTCCTCAGAACCTCCTGTAGTATTTTTGAGGGAAGTTGAAGGTAAGCAGGATGTAACCACAGGCCACTTTGGAAACTATGACATGGAGTTTGTGAGGAAGAAGTGTTTTTGATGGCTGGTGTTTGTCAGCAAACTTTTCTGGCATTCCACATGGTAGCAGAGACTGTATTTGACCCTGAGGGTTCACAGGCATTAGATAATTGGTTTGGCTCTTACTTAGTTCATGTTAGACTACTCATTTCTATCTGTGACACCAAACTATCAACTGCTAACTTCCTGTGTGGAAATAATTATGCATCTTTTCCAAGTTCAACTGTTTCCAACAGTTCTTATGCAGAAAGGCAAGGTTAGAGTAAGACCACTTGCATTTCTAATAGCTTGACTCTGAAAAGCCTTCATACTATTCAAAAATCCTAGTATCAGTGGAGCCAGAGTGGGGTTAGAATTCTGTTCTGCAACAGGAAGGGGACATACAGAGGTCTGGAAAATTATGAAGGTGGGAGGAAAATTAATAAAAAATGGTTATTATTGCTGTTCATAATGCCATATTAATTAAACCAGTTTATCTGGGAGCAGGGTTTAAAAAAGAACAGAAGGAAATATATTTTCATATAAACTCATTGCCACAGGATGTTCTCAAAATATAAATAAATAAGCTCAACAAGAAAATAGATACACTCAAGGGATCTAGGCTTAATGAAGTCACTGGCACATGCTTGTCTAGCTGCAGTGTCCTCTTTGGAAATTAGGAAATCCCTAAACTGCTGATTTTTAGAAGCATGAATGACACAAATGGGTAGGAGCTGCTTTTCCTATAATCTGTTTCCAATTCTAAGCATCCATTACTACTTCCTTTCTTGGTTTCCCTTGAGGAAAGGACATGCCTAAGCCTGCTTTGAATGTTAAAAGCTTCCTCTGTTCTGCACAAATAGAGGTGAGAGTAAGAGACCATAACTGATTACCCATGGGCAGCTAATAAAGCTGTGAGAGACAAGTCCTCACCTGGAACCATGGAGGTGTTTGAGGTGGACCAAAGGGTCCCTGTCAGGGGGTCTCAAGCCCTTGAGTGAGTCGTGCATGGCTCCCCCCATGCTGGGGGCCTATGGCAGTGCAGTCCTAACAAGCACTGCACACTTTCTGCCACCCTTAAACTCCACATGTTCCTCTCACCAACAGAACAAACAGGTTAATAAAGGTGGGGATTTTTTGTGTAGAAACATAATGAAAGCCAGGTCAGGAAGGGAAGAGATCTCAGTCTGCTTGGTAACTTACACAGAATGAAACTCTACCAAGGAAAGGAACGTGTAGCTTCCCTTGCTTTCTTACCACAGGGTTTCCCCTTTGCACTTTACCAAGTCCAACTTCTGCCATAATCACCCTGGCAACAAGTTACAGTCGATCTCCCTCTAGTGGGTAATTAATTACCCATAAAAGCCACAGCAAGTCTGAGATGTGTTAAAAATCTGCCTTGCACTTGCCTTCCTTCATCCTCTTTCTTCAGCTGGCTTTCTTCTTCTTTCATCTGTCATCTTCCTCACACATGCATTACGTGTTTTCTTCATGCCCTCCCTGAACTTTGTATCTGCTCCTTCTCCATTCTTGTGCTCTGTGAGGAGTTGGGCTGTTTGAGGGGTTTCTGTTTGACTTTGATGTAAGTGGAAATGAAAGTAAAGAAGCGCCAAAAAATGAATTTAAAATGAAATATTCTAGAGATTAGTGGTGTTTGCACAGAAGCATGTGAGCAACCCCCAATATGCCAAAGGCTTAGAAATCTAGGAAAAAGAAAGCCATAAGACCTACCCTAAGTTTGTAATTTATTTTTTTTATCAGGAGTCAGTCAAAGGAAATTTACATTTGTGTTTCCTTATCCTTAAAGTTGATTTATTTGGGTTGAAAATCCTCTGCATTCTGCTTAGTAGTTTCTTCCCCCTGAATTTGTTGTTCCATTATCACAACTATTAACAGCAAAATACATAAGCCAGCTGTGTTCAATCTGAAGTTAGCTCTCTAACAGCAACAGTTAACTACCAAAGAGTATTCTGAGAGCAGAGCTGACGTTAATTGAGAAGGATGGTGCTCTGAAATATGTGGAGACAAGATGCTATAGAAATTGATTTAACGAGACTATGCCTTTTGTGTATGGAACTGTATTTCTCTCCTTGCAGAGCATATAGGCTGGATACTATGGCTGTTACTGCATTTAGATTAATGGAAATATATTAGGGATGATTCTCAAAGGTATCTCCTTTCTCTGACTACTCTGGGGTTTCTTGTGTGTGTGTGTGTGTGGTAAAGCACATTTCAAACAAAAAGATGAACAAGTCAATATTGTCCAAATGAAAAATTACAGATCTGGTTGAAAGAAATTTTTAGGACAGGCTTTGATAATATATTCCTCCAGTGATAGGAGGCATCATATTAATCATTATATGTTACCTTTCTGTTTAAAATTTTGAATTATCTAAATAAACCAATATGAAAGACAATGTGCTCCAATCCAAGTATTTTCCAGGTTCCTAGAACCACTGACCTTTTCTCAAATCACTGTGGTAAACGGTGCTCCACAAAAATCACTAATTAGAACCCCAAGAGTCTTTAGTATGGCAAACTTAGGTATCACAAAGTGAATGAATAAAATGAAGATAAACTGGAATTTTACTGAAGCAAAGTAAGATCACATATTATTTATTGTGAGCAAATTTTGTGCCTAGAAACACCTATGCAATCCATATATTTACATTATTTTGTGAAACAGCATCATACTAAAATGATTGTTCTATACAGCACATCAGGGTTATCAACTTATTTTACTAACATGAGAACAAAAAATATTGTAGCTTTTGGTCCCTTCATAACTGAGTTGTCAATATAACTAATTTCATTTCACTGTAATAAAGATGAAATGAATTCCAATCCTGCACCTCTATCAGTTACAATATAATTTTATTCAGCTGAGACATTTCATAAACCTGCTGAAGGTAAGAATTGCAGACAGTGCTGAGGCAGGATGTGGAGGCAGGGAAGAGGTATTGCAGAAGAAATGTACAGGTTTTGTCTTCACAGCTTTCCTTGCATTGATGTACAGGACAAAAAGAATTCAGTGACTATCAGCTTTCAAGACCAGCTTGTAGGGCTGACAGTAAGAGAATGTTCTTTTGCATTCAAATTGAGTACATTTGTTCTAGAATTTATTAAGACACTGTAATCAAAGAAACTAACAGTGCCACATCCTGTTCTTTATTTAGGTTGGATGAAGGCTTCATTTGGCATCATGGAAACTAGAATGACTACCCTGGGCTAAACCAAAGGCCTGTGAGTCCCTTTATCCAATCTCTGGTCATAGTCAGAAATGAGTGTTTAAGGAAGAAGTATGAGGAATAGGGTGAGCATAGAGCAGTGCTGCCTGCAGCAGTGACTTGTATTTCATTGCTGCTGATAAACACACAGAGAACAGAGTCTGGGGGTCTGAGCACAGAGCTGGGAGCTGTGAATTCGCTGTTTCAGTCCTGCCTCTGTCACCAAGGTTACTTGTGCATCGCTGTGTCCCAGCTCATGTGTGCTGGTGGCAAACCTGCCTCCAAGCCTCTGCACTGCAGAGGCACACACAGGCCATGCTCACATAGCCACACTCACATTCAGGCTGGTTTTGATCAAGTCTGGTATTATGGAGAGATTTATTCCTTCCTAATGAGCTGCTTAACATCTGTGATTGTTTCCTGAAGAGCTGAATAATATCCCAGTGCCCTTCTTATTGTGCCCCTTTATCTCTTCCCTATTCCTTCTCGATCCTCTGTTTTTCACATGGTTATCATCACTGGCCTTTGTGGTCCTTGGGCTTTGTCCTAAGCTTATCATCCCTCAGTTCCTACAAGCAGGAGCAGCAAGCTCAGTGCATGGTAAAAACTGTGCAGATATTTTTCCTGTGTAGCCCAAGTCCAGGTCAATCCATCAGGGAGCACAGAGAGGCCAACTCTTTCAAATGTCCCTGCTGAAGCTGCCAATCAAAAGGTGATGCTGTTAGATTTCCAGTAAAACCAGAAAGATAACGTTGAAGGCACCTCCTTAAAAATTCCTGTTAAAAATTTTGGTTAAAAACTATGTTTCACTTTGCTTCAGGGCTACCTGCAATTCCCAGCATGATGGATGATCCTGAGTGGATCCTCAGAAATTGAATCCATCAGCTGCAGGCCCCCTTCTGGTGAGTTCACAGTTTCATGATTGCTTCTGGAAGTCTGTCACCTCCTCCACAGCCATCATTCCCACCTCCATTGGTCTACCATCCCTTCAGATACACCAAGTGGAGGAGGACTGCAATCTCCACACTCAGGGCACTACCCAGAACATCTCAATGCAGGCAGGTAAATAAGGAGTTGTCAGAATTCCCTTTTCCATTTTTAACCTTACAATGTACAACCTTTACCAGTGTGATACTATTGGGGATTTCTACAAGCTGACTCAAGCTGCTGGATTGAAGGCCTGGTTTGAGGAACTTCTCCCCAGATCCTTGCACCTCAGGTTGAGCAGAACCCTGGAGAGCTCCTCCTCCTTGTGGCCTCCAGCTGTGCTTCTGCACAGGGCAGGGGTGCACAGGAACTGGAGGAAGCCACATGGAAATCAGGGCTGAGTGGTAACCAAATATGTCTGACCCAGGGGGAAGCTGGTGGGAGTGCAGAGCTAGTCAAAGGGAAAGGAGCAAATAGACTGGAACTTACAGGCCCTGGAATACTGGCATGTCAGTGGAGGGCTGTGTATAGTAAATAAATAGAGATATGCATGTTTCAGCAATTTCCCCAGGGTAAAGTGAGTGGGAGTGTGTTCAAAGAGTAGTATTTGCTTTATACTGTCCTGTTCAATATATACATTAGGAAGTACATATAGGGTGTATGTTTGATCAAGGAATTTAGACAATAACCTGAGTAATTGGCAGCATACACCAAATCCCATTAGTCTGATCCCAACGCCAAGTTCCTTCTCAGTATTACAATTTTGCAAGCAATTAAAATGGCTACTTAGCTACATTATGTTATTACAAGCAACATCACTTGTCAAGTATTTTAAGCAGGAAAAGTGATGTTAGTTATTGTGCATTATCACCCAGGTAAAAATCACACCCCTGTGTTAAGCATGCACAACAATATACCATTAACCTGTTTAACATGATAGCTTGAAAGAGCGGTGTGTTATGCTTTTACATTTCTACTACAAATCCTCTGTTATTACTTTGCACATTAAATTTTTTTCTGCTATAAAGAGGATAGAATGATTTTGCAAACCAGTCTCATCCCTAGACTGCTATAATTTGACAATTTCAAGGCTTTTCAACTCAGACCCTGGCATATATGTCATGTATCGCATTGCAGATTTCATCCAATAGTCAAAAATGTACTCTCAATGCAGTACCATCTTATCAGTATTCTAGCACCATAAGCCTTCTCACTGCAAGCAGGGGACTGTTCATTACAATGAAACTGAAAATGGAATAACTGAAGGATTGATTTATATGACCTTCACTCAGGAATGTTCTAATTCTGACATAATCTCTCTGACTGAAATCGTAAACACTGTATAATTTTGATTTATTACCCTTAAAAGAAGGAACCTGGATCTATAGATAACAGAATACCTGGCATGAAAAAGAATGGTGCAAAAGCTCAGGAAGACTGCAAGAAAATGCAGATTGATCATGTGACTTTACTCCAAACATTGTTTCAGCCAGCAAATCCATGAACGGAGCTGAAAGCAAGTGGAAAAACATTATGCGGATGTTTTCACAAATCCACTCTGTCACTCGGAAATCTCTCATGATTATATACATTTTATAGCAAAGATAAGAGCATGTTAGTAAGTTCAAGCATGAAACAGTCTGTTTACTAAAGGCTGCAAGGAATGTTTATTAAACCAGCTAATTTATGGCAAAACAGGGCCAGAACTTGATATACTCCACAAAAAGCTGCTTTACCAGGCAGCTGTTTCCCTCCCACACCGACAGTGTAACCCACTCCGTGCTGTTCTGTCCTCACATCTGCTGCCACGGGAGCCAGGAGAAGGCTTGTAAGGGTGTGAGGGCATGCTGGACCTGACTGCTCACAGGTGAAAGCTAGAGCAGTCCTACAGTGTGCTGCTTAAAATTAACAGCTGATAATCTTTAAAGCAAAGCAGCTGGATCTAAATCAAATAGAATCTTCTTAAATTGAAAGGTGAATCAGGCTGGTTGTCACTTGGAATTTTTTGGTGAGGTAAAGTGAGTAGTTAGAAGAAAGAGCAGATAGAAACTATTCACCACAAGCTGGTTAATAAATGTACGTTAAAAGCCCACTGAACACAATCTTAATGCCCTGCAGGAAGTGAAATCAACAGGTCAATTTAAAGTAGACTAACAAAAAGAAATCTGCCCTCCACCCATGCCTTTTTTCTGTTCTTAATGTTTGGTGAAATGAATGCTTGCCTCCTTTCCTCCCACACACTCAGCTCACAGTTCCCACTTAGCCATTTCCCAGTCCTATTTTACACATATCTTTATCTTATCATGCTTCTCCTGCAAATCCTTCTCCTCTAGACCACTTACATTCTCTTCTTTCATAAAATTCACCTTTTACAAGTGGTACCTAATCAGTCTTACTTTGTCCTAGCCAGGAAATGGAGGGGTTTATTTTAGAAAAAAATTACTGTTATTCAGTGAATTTTGTGGCTAGTATGAATGACTTCATTCTACCAGATGGTAGTCTCCTCTATGCAGGAACATTTGTCTGCTTCACTGTACTGCACAATGCATATTATTCTCACCTGTGAATGGGCCTGTTCCTTATTACTACCAAAGATCAAACATTACACAACTCCTCCAGTATGGAGCTACAATCTGAGCTACAGCTACTGCAGCCACTGTGAAAGCACTACAGCCTCAGAAAGATTATTTCTTCCTTCCTGAATACGTTAGAGTCGCTATACCAGGAACTAAATTTGTGCTTAGGGATAGCAGGAAGTGCTTGATTCTTTTTATGTACTTGCAGAAAGGAAGGGAGAAAAAAAGGGGGAAAAAAAGGGAAAGGGAGGAGATAAAAAAGAGAAGAGAAAATAATAAAAAGAAAAAAGAGAGGCTTGGGTGGAATAATATTTAGGACATTTATTCCCTGAACTATATATGGACAATTTTCAAAGTAAGACAATAAAGTATTTATATCAAAAACTCTGTTCTACTAGAATGACATAAAGCCTTGTAAGTGGCAGACAAAAGAGAAAAAAACCATGAATATTATTTCTGTAATCAATTAGCATGTCAACATGTAGGAATACAATACAGATAATATTTGATTCTTTGGACTAGAAAATTTAACATAAAGCCCAGTTCTGCAAACCAATCCTGCATACTTGATTTTCAGCATGAGCTGTTTATTGAATTCTCAAATGAATGTATTTATCATTAGGAAAATCAAAATACCAGAGGAAGTAATATAGTCTTAGATTTCCCAATGGTGAATTAATTAGTGGAGTCAATTCTACCCTCAGCCTGGTATCTCATCCACCAGACAACACTCACTTCCCACTGTAACAACAGATGATTGTAAAAGCTTAACAGTGTTTTGCCAGTGCTGGTAAAGCTGATAGGGATGGGAGTGAAGGGCAGCTTGGTATCTTCTTCAACCAATGGCAAACTATTCAGTATGAGAGGTTAAGAACTACTTTATTAGGATGATTATCATTACCCTCAACAACAGCTATAAAAAGCTCCAAGTCAAATGGTTCTGACTCACTTGTTGAAGGGTAATGCCATCTGTAGAGGAAATTCTGGGTATGGGCTGTCACCAGTAGCTAATCCCCCTGGAACAGGTGCACAGCACTTTGCCAGTCCCACATCACAGCAGGGCTGGGAGCCAGGGCATCCAGCTCACAGAGTAGATGCCCACTGGAAAGGAGGTGGAACAAAAGAAGAAAGGGCCTGTCTTCATGTTTCTCCCAAGCAGTTTCCACTTTTAAAGTTTTGGTGACTAGAAAAATTTGGAAGCCATTCTCCACCCAGTGTGCATCAACAGTAATACCCTCCTTGTCCTTCCTCACTAGTGAGCTCTCCTGAGCCACTGCAGCAGCTCTGGAGTGAAATACTTCTGCAGACAGTATGTTTGCAAATGTAAATTCATCAGATTCTCTATAAACTGGTGGCTGTTAATATAAAATATTTTAAAACAAAATGCCTAAGTACCAGATCAATCCAACCTGACTGAGGTCAAAAACCATTTGTTGAGTCCATTCAGGACAGAAGGCAGAAATATTCCAAAGTTGCCTTTTGAGTGAATGAACAAGGAATACAGACTCAAAAGCTCAACTCTGGCAGACGCTGAACTCGCTGTCATTTGATCTGCAGTAGCACTTGGGTGTCTGAGTAGGTCTGCTGAAACAGAAGGAAACCTTTCCCAGAGATTATTCAGCTAGTCCAAACTGGTAGCTTTTGAGGAAAAGAAAAACATTTTCTTACATTTTAAGGAATATAAATAAAATAACATAGTCATTTCACTGAATAAGGTGCACCTATCAAAAATTACATATTGCAAAGTTAGAAAGGACCTTATAATCAGACCTGCACTAGACAGACAAAAAGACTTCTTAAAGGGATTTTTTTCAATCTGTAATACAACACACCTTTCAATATAATATTTCTGTCCAATTAAAATTATTCTATTAATGGAGAGTCTATCATAGTTTTATTATGATTACAATTTATTGTAAACTTATTGTATTCATTACTAACTTGAGCTGTAAAAAATGTAAATACTAGGAATCATTAAACTTGAAAACAATGCAAAGAAATGTAGCAAAAAAGAGGGAAATTAAGCTGATTAAATGTCTGGTTCCCATTGATTGCCAATAGCTGCTAGTGTTAAATTAAGAGGTTATTTTATTGTCCCCTACAGCCAAGCTCAGCCATGCTCCATTCAATAACTAATAAATTATGTCTTTGAGTTAGTAATAATTACAATAAAAATATTCCCCATTTTCTGGCATGCTGTGTTTATTTTAGGATATTAACACAGCAATCCAAATACAACACGTAAAACTCCCTCAGGGTTTTCTGTCTCACATCCCAGACCTTCTGTTTCTTTATAAGCTTTAACAGCCACAGTTAGAAGAGATATAAATAGTCTGAAGCACAAGAGAATCTCTCTTCCCTGACAGAATCTTTATTTACAAGCTCTACAAACCTTAGCA